CGTCCTGGGCCGAAGGCAGGCACTAAATTGCTGAGCCACCCAGGCATCCAGAGTGATTTTTTCTTATAAAGAGAGTTACTGGTCCGAAGAAAATGAACTTTTGGAAGGTTTAATAATATGGAGCAGTTGAATGTGACTTTTTTCAGACTTTTTAATTTGGGCAGCCCGGGTGGCTCAGCGGTTTAGCTCCGTCTTCAGCCCAGGGCCTGATCCTGGAGACCTGGGATCGAGTCCCATGTCAGGCTCCTTGCATGGAACCTGCCTCTCTTTCTGTCTCTGTGTATCTCTCATGAATAAATAAAATCTAAAAAAAAAAAAAAAGACTTTTTAATTTATTTATTCATGACAGAGGCAGAGACATAGGCAGAGGGAGAAGCAGGCTCCCTGCAGGGAGCCTGCTGGGGGACTGGATCCCAGAATCCTGGGATCATGGGGATCATGACCTGAGCCGAAGGCAGACACTCAACCACTATGCAACCCAGGTGCCCCTGAATGTGAAATTTTGAAAGTTTTTATTTTAAGGCACATAAACAAGTAGTGGTGGGCAGTAGAAATTGACTACTGCTTCCCAGTTTACCCTGCTTCCAGCTCTTGTCTTTAACCTCAATCCTTGTGATAGACAGGAATGGATGGTCTGTCCAAGACCTTCTCTTTCCCCTCACAATATGGTTCAGGTGACTATCAAGCACCCACCCTGTTGTCCCATGATACACATTCCCACCCTCACCCTCAGCATGTCTCATTCGCCCTGTCACAGTTGCCTGTGTCCTTGGAATGCTATACGGAGCCTCCTGAAGACAACCTGGTCCTCCTTCAGCTCTACTTCCGGACCCTGGTTACTGGTGTGCTCTGTCCACGTTGGTGCCCTGTGCTGTATGCTGTGGCAGTGGCCCATGTCAACAGCTTCATCTTCTCCCAGGACCCAAAGAGCTCAGTAAGTTACATCCCCATCTCCAAAGACATGCTGCGAGACTGCGATTGAGCTGCCTCCAGGTCAGCTGGGGAGGAGATGAGAGCCAGTGAGGCTAGTGGTAGGTATCAGCCATCAACCCAGTGCCATCTTTTCCTCTGTGTTCTGCCTCTAGGATGAGGTAAAGGCTGCCCGCAGGAGCCTGCTACAGAACACTTGGCTGCTGGCAGATGAGGTAGGGGGGCTGGAGGGTGGGAAAATAGGCCTTGGGGGACAGAGATCTCAACAGGACCTACTTGATAAAATTTCTTCCCTTTTTGCAGGGTCTCCGGCAGCACCTTCTCCACTATAAACTCCCTAATTCTGCCCTCCCAGAAGGCTTTGAACTATATCCCCAGTTGCCCCCTCTGCGTCAGCAGTACCTCCAGAGACTGACCTCAGGGATGCTCCAAAATGGGCTATCAGAGGCCTAGTATAGTTGCTACAGATAAAGACGTGGGTACATTCTCCTGGGGTTCACTGACATCTGCCTGGCCAGACAAAAGGATTTTGTTTCCTAAGGGTGAACAGGAGACCAAGGAGTAGGAGGCTTGCCGTTTGAGTTTTTTTGGAGCAGGGTGAGCCCTACCATTACGTTCTGATGTCTGAAGCCCAGGATCTGGGCCTTTTGAGGGTCTGTATTGGGAGTGAATGGTAACATAACTATTTACCCCTCTTTTGGGGACAAAACAGACTATGTACATCTCTCCTCCTTCTCCTGCTCCAGACCAGGATATATGAATGCTACAGATTTGTACAGAAATAAATTTTTTTTATTATTATTATTTCCTGGTAACCTGATTTGGACTGATTTAAGACATGGTGGTTTAGGATTGTATGGAGGGATGGATTATCCCACTGGAGAAGCAGGACCTCTATGAGAAATGGGAGAAGTAAGAACTGAGTCCACATCTGGGACAATTAACATGTGGGTCCCAGTTCTGGAGCACAGCCAGGCCAGAGTAATGCTCTTGGGAAGGAGTATTGCTGAAAGGACTCTCAAGGAGTCCACTTGGAGTATAAGCATCCTTAGATCAACGTCTTGTCTTATGGTCCATTATCTATTATCTATGCTATCCTGAGATACAAGGAAACCAAAAATCAGACTGTGCAGCAGCTGTTTCAGCTCTTTGGGCTGCTGTAACAATACCATAGACTGAGTGGCTTATAAACAACAAATTTATTTCTAACAGCTCTGGAGGCTGGGAAGTCCAAGCTCAAGGTGCTGGCACTGTTGGTCTCCAGTGAGGGCCCACTTTCTGGTTCCTAGACAGCCCTCACATAGATGAAGGGACATGGGAGCTCTCTGGGGTTTTATAAAGACACCCACCCTGGGGCACCTGGGTGGCTCAGTGGATTAAGCATCTGCCTTCGGCTCGAGTCATGATCCCAGGGTTCTGGAATCAAGCCTCATGTCCAGCTCCTGACTCAGTGGGGAATCTGCTTCTCCCTCTCCTCTCCCTCTGCCACTCTCTGTGCTCCTTCTCTCTTTCTTTCTCAAAATCTTAAAAAAAAAGAGACACTAACCACATTCTACCTATGAGGGTGGAGCCCTCATGACCTAATCACTTTCCAGAGGACTTACCTCCAGATATCCTCACATTGGATATTAGAGTTCAGCATGAGACCTTGGCTGGGGGCAGGAGGCAGGTAGGGGGAATAGGTCACAAACATTCAGTCTCTAGCACTGTCCTACAACCCCTCCATTGTGAACTTCAGTAGTGGTAGGTGAGGCTGGGAAGGAGTGGATCAAACCATGAACTCTGGTTCATCTCTTTTGGTAGAGTTTTTAATGTTCTTTTGTCTAAATTCTGACTCTTAAGCTCTTACAGTGTCATTTTCTGTGTGGAATTAACTGTGTTTACAGGTCATCAGAATGAGTACAGTGTGCCCTGTCAGTAGGTAGAGAGAACCCGCTTGCCATAAATGGAGCTACTGAACACAGAGTTATACAGGAAGTTTTCTAAGCAACTACTGCATCTGCAAACAGCAGTAGTTCCCAAACTTATGTGACAAAAATCACCTGGAGAGTGTTAAAACAATTCGCTAGGCCCTTCACCAGTTTTTCTGATTTAGTAAACCTAGGGTGAAACCCGAGTATTTGCATCTGTAACAGGTTTCCAGGTGGTGCTGAGGCTGCTGTCCAAGCCCAAACACATGTTGAGAACCACTTTTTTTTTTTTTTGAGAACCACTTTTTATTGGCTTATTGGAACCTTACCAAGTAAATTCTGTGACCTCACAGTGGGAATACCCAGAGAGTTAAATAGAGCATGGGTACTAGAGTGCTACAAAAAGTATAAAGTAGCATCTTTATCTAGCACTATATTCTCAGAGACAACCAAATAGCTAACTACTATCACTTCTTTTTTTTCTAGTGCTTTATATTAAACATAGGCCTCAGCCTTTAAAATTAGTATTAACTATTATTAGTAGTATTTAAAAATAGTATTTTGGGGGATCCCTGGGTGGCGCAGTGGTTTAGCGCCTGCCTTTGGCCCAGGGCGCAATCCTGGAGACCCGGGATCGAATCCCACGTCGGGCTCCCAGTGCATGGAGCCTGCTTCTCCCTCTGTCTCTGCCTCTCTCTCTCTCTCTCTCTGACTATCATAAATAAATAAAAATTAAAAAAATATATATCTTAAAAATAGTATTTTGGGCAAAAGAATAAGGAAGACACAAAACCAACTGAAGACTGAGTGACCTTCACAGTTACAGGGTCCCTTGTGGTTTGCAGAGCAATTCCCCTGCATATGATTTTATAGGTGGTGGGGAAACTCTCAGAGCAGTGTGACCTGTGTACCATCACCTGTTGACTAGAAATGCTAGTACTAGCACTTAGATCTTTGACATCAGGATCCAGGCTTTCACCCCATCACAGTAAGAAATTGTGCAGAGAGTTAAAACAGACAGTGGAGGGCACCTAGGTGGTGCAGTCAGATAAGCATCTGCCTTTGGCTCAGGTCATGATCCCAGGGACTGGGGATCAAGTCCCGCATCGGGCTCCCTGCTCAGTGGGAAGTCCTCCCCCCTGCTCCTGCTCTTGCTCTCACGCGCGAGCATGCGCGCGCTCTCTCAAATAAATAAAATCCTTAAAAAACAAAACACAAAAAAACCCATGGCTCAGTTGGTTGGGCGTGGCTCAGGTCATGACCCACATCAGGCTCTCTGCTCCAGGGAGAGCCTGCCTCTCCCTCTCCCTCTGCCTACTGTCCCCCTGCTTGTGCTCTGTCAAATAAATAAAATAAAATAAAACCCCCCACACAAGGGAGATATATGAGGTAAACCTAGAGACCCATGTTTCTGAGGGTTATCTGGAGGTTCAGCCTTTCAGTCACAAAGGTACTGAAAAGACACAAGTAATGCCAAGTAATGATACCTTACTTGGGGCAGTTTAAAGAGGGCTTCCTGGGACACCTAGGTGGTTCTGCTGGTTAACTGCTGCCTTCTGGGGTCCTAGAATCGAGCCCCACATCAGGCTCCCTGTTCAGCATGGGGGTCCACCTCTCCCTCCCCCTCTGCCCATCCTCACTGCCTGTGTTCCCCCTCTCAAATAAATAAAATCTTAAAAAAAAAAAAAAGCATTTCCTATATGTGCACACCCTTCCTATACCAGCACACCCACAACTTACCACCAATAAAGCACTCACCCCACTGTTCCTGATATGAGAGCGCTAGAAAGCCCTAGAAGCCTGGGCAGGGTATCTAGGGTATGGCTTGCCATTATTTTCACTCCTGCCTCAAAAGGGGCACTTCCTCCCCTACCTTGTACCCACCCTATCGTCTGAGGCAGCCAGCAGCCGACCCAACGGATCCAGACAGAGGACCCTTGGAGGGATGCTTGCAAGCCTCTTCCAGGAAGCCTAGGGACCTTGCTGCCCACATGCCCTTCCCTTCCCTCCCTCAGCATCCCAGGGTCTGAGGTAGGAGTGGCCAGGTCGCTTTAGGACTGGCAGTGTCTAGTAAGTGGCTGGACCTTGCTATAAGGGGCAGTCAGGCTGGAGTGACAAGGTCTGAGTCCACAACCCTGGCTGTGGCAGGCTGAAAAAGCCATGGGCTGCTCCAGCTGGCGGCTGCTGTGGCTTGGATGGGTGGGTAAGTACCCCCTGTTGGTCCAGGAACCACCCGTTTAGAGGTATTTTCCTAGGCTTGGGAACAGCAGTTGAGAGAGACCAGTCCTAGTGGCTCCCCCGGAGGCCCAGAACCCTCAAGGCCAAGGATTCTGGGTCAGTGCCCCTGGAGAGTGGGCCCAGAAACATGGTGCCTGCCTGAATTCAAGGTTTCCCATCACCCAGCTTGGGAAGGAGGGACAGGCCCTGAGGTCTCAGCACTGCCTGGGGATGAGATTACCCAGGTTGAGGAAAGGATGGGGGCCTGTAGGACCAAACTCAGGGCTGCCCTCAGGTCATTCACTGGGAAGGGGAGAAACTTGCAGAGGTATCAGCAGGTATTCTGAGGGGCTGCAGCAACTAGAGGTGGCTGGGCAGGTTTCCAGGTGCTGGTGTGTCCTGACTGGGTGAGGTTAGGACCGAGACCGCAAAAGGCAAGGGCCGGCTGTTGAGAGGTTCTCTCTATTTTTATCTCTGGCCCCCGTTAACATCATGCCACCTCTCCCAACCTCACTGTCTCGCTGATACTTTTCAGGAGCCATTCTCTGCTCTAGCTGGGTGTCCCAGGCACCTTTTCCGCCATTCTTGCCCCTGCAGCTTCCAGCTGCAAGCCCCCAAGAAGCCAATGTCAACGCCCCACCTAGTGGCTTAGCGCCAGCTTCTCCCCTAATTACCCCAAGTGAGCTCCAGGCTCTTCCTCCCTTTACCTCTGCTCACCTTACTAGGCCAGGGCAGATGCTCTGACCCTTTCCTCCCTCCCTGCTCCAGGGCACTGAAGGGCCTTGGGTGTTCTCTTCCTACAGGGCCAGCGGACAACAACCCACACAAACGCCGTGCAACAAGGCCGACCCAGGCAGCAGCGCGGGGGGGCAGTGCAGGCCGCTGAGCCTCTGAAAGGCCTGCAGTTGTGGTGGGCCCGACCGCGGCGCCCGACCTGTAACTGTGGAGCAGGGAGACGTGGGTGGTGACCTGAGAGTCTGAGGTGCTAAAGGCAGGGGATCGAAGGCCTGGGGCACGCCACGTTGTCGTAGGGTATCCCACGACCCAGAGCGCCCTGGTGGCTTTGTCCCTTCTTCCAGCAGAATCCGGGAAGGAGGCAATGGTCGACGCTGGATTACCTAGGAGCCAGAGCCCTCCAATGGAGAACCCGTGACCAGCGGCGCGCCAGCGGGTGGCTTGAGCTCCCCTCATCTCCATTACCCTCCTAAAATAAGTGTAAAATCGAATTTCCTGGTGCACAGAGCTAGTCTCATCATTTCAAAATCGACTACAGCCTCTTAAGTCCCTCAGACAGAAATTCTGGAGCCAGTTTTGTCACCAGCCTCTGCGTCAGCCGGGCGGCCTGAGGACGGAAGATCGAGGGCCAGGGACTCGGCCGCTTCCCGCAGGATCTCAGCTTGCGGAGCTGCGGGGGCAGAGGCGCCAAGAACCACCCGTGGCGGGGATCCCTGGGAGGCGCAGCGGTCTGGCGCCTGCCTTTGGCCCAGGGCGCGATCCTGGAGACCCGGGATCGAGTCCCGCGTCGGGCTCCTGGCATGGAGCACCCCCCCTCTCTCTCATAAATAAATAAAATATTAAAATAAAAAAAAAAATAAAAAGAACCACCCGTGGCGGGCGCGGCGGCCTCGTCCCCGCCGTCTTCCCCCTCGGCCGGCCGGGGAGCCGCTTTACATCCCAGGGGCACAGCAGGGAGAGGGCGCCTGTCCCGGAGGAAGCGGAGCGGGGGAGAAGGGCTTCCCCGCTCAAGCCCCGCAGGGCCGGCCGGGGGAGGGGCGCCCCGCGCGGAGGCGGCCGCGCTGCCAGCGGAGCGCCCGGGCCTCGCGGAGGGCACAGCGCCGCCCGCCCGCAGGGGAGCCGAGAGCCGCTCGGCAGCCTCGGGGAGTCAGGGCGGCGGAGGGGCCACGGCGTCTCGGGGCGGCGGCGCCGGGAGCGGCCGCAGCGGTCCGCGTGGGCTCCCACCTCCCGCCGTGGGCTCTGCGTACGGGCCTCGGGGTCCCCCGTCCCTCAGGCCGCGGCCTGTGCCGTCCTCGCCCGACGGCAGGCGCGAGCTCCTGGACGCGCCGCTGGCCCCGGGCTGCGCGCCCGCGAGCTGCAGCCACTGCTGGCGGCGGCCGGAGGCGGCGGGTGAGGGCGCGGGGCCGCGGGGCCGCGGGGCCAGGCGCGCGCGCTCCCAGCCACGCGGCCGGCCGGCCCGCTGTCGCCCCGAGGTGGAGCGGGCGGCTGGACGTCGCGGGCCCAGGCCGGCGGCTCGGGGGCGGCGGCGGCTGCCGGGGTAGGCGCGCTCTCCAGGAGGGCGGCTCGGCCGCTCCCGGGGGAAGTGACGTTGCAGCCTTAGCACAGGCCCTCGGAAGGAGAGGTGGGAAAGCGGTGCAGCCCCTTTGCTCCGGGCCCCAGAGCAAGCCGAGTAACGGCTCTTAGAAGAAAGATTAGGGGGTCCCGGGTGGCTCAGTGGGTTAAGTCCTGACTCTTAGTTTCAGCTCAGGTCCTGATCTCAGGATCATAAGCTCGAGCCCCTCCTCGGGTTCCATGCTCGGTGGGGAGTCTAATTAAGATTCTAAGATTTGGGGCAGCCGGGGTGGCTCAGCGGTTTAGCGCCGCCTTCAGTCCAGGGCGTGATCCTGGAGACCTGGGATCAAGTCCCATGTCAGGCTCCCTGCATGGAGCCTGCTTCTCTCGCTGCCCCTCTCGGTGTGTGTCTCTCATGAATAAATAAATAAAATCTTAAAAAAAAAAAAAAGACCCTCGCTTTCTTCCTCTCTCCGGCTCCCACTCATTCTCTCTCTCAAATCTTTTAAAAAGAGGGAGAGAGAGATCAAGTAAGTTGCAAAACATACAAGCAGACAAGATTCCCTTGATTTTCATTTAAATCCAGGGCTTTTTTCATCACAAGTCTCCTTGCTCTACAGCAATCCCAGGAACTTAGAGCTGGCTGAGTTAGCAAACTAAGCAGAGAGGCAGAAAGGCAGGGATAGTTTATTTACTACTTTTTATTTTATTTTTTTTTTTGAGAGAGAGGGTGCATGCAGAGGGGCAGAGAGAGAATCTTAAGCAGGCTTCATGCTCAGAATGGAGCTAGACGTGGGCTTGACTAGGGGACCCACAAGGGGGCTCCATCTCAGGACCCTGAGATTAGATCCTGAGCTGAAATCAAGAGCGGTACACCCAACTGACTGAGCCACCTAGGTGCTTCAGGCAGGGATAATTTAATTTTTATTTTTTAAAATTTTTATTTATGATAGTCACACACACACACAGAGAGAGAGAGAGAGAGAGAGAGAGGCAGAGACACAGGCAGAGGGAGAAGCAGGCTCCATGCACCGGGAGCCCGACGTGGGACTTGATCCCTGGTCTCCAGGATCGCGCCCTGGGCCAAAGGCGGGCGCCAAACCGCTGCGCCACCCAGGGATCCCCTGGGATGATTTAAATAAGTAGTTCTCAAAGAGTGGTTTCTGAACCAGTAGCATTAGCACTAAGAAGTTAGAAATGAGAATTCTCAGTCCCTCTACAACCTACTGAATCAGAAAGTCTAGGGGAGACTCCTAGCCATCTGTTTTAATCAATCCTCTGGGTGATTTTAATACACTCCAGAGTTTGGAAATCACTGGTGTAGAGACAGAACCTTCGGGTCTGTCTGAGCCATACTGTTCATAAGTACTTTATATACATCTTTTCCATTATCACAAAATGGAACATGTGGATTGGGCCTCTCCCATTTTATAGCTGAGGACATGAAGTCAGAGGATTTCAGGCAGACAAGGAGGTTGTCCAGCCAGCCTTGGCCAGGCCTTCAGGTTCCAGCTGATTACTTTGCACCCACCTCCCTGGCTCCCGGCTCCCCCTTATGAGCTGGCAGTGCTGTATTGCAATGCTAGTATAGAGAGGGCTGTACTGGGATTTACACTGGAAGACAACAGCTTCCCAACTGCTCATAAGCTAGCTTCCCATCTCTGTGTCCCTTCCTCCTCCCATTTTGTAGCCAAACCTTCTATCACTTTCAATTTCCAGGTGGCGATGTCTCAGAGAATGACATGGGTTGATGGGGAAGATGGGATATCCTTCATACACCCCAGCAGTGAACCCTACCTGCAGCCTCTGGCAGGTATTAGCCACCCCTACTCCTACCTGCCATTTCAGCCTGGCCTAGCCTTATTCCTCAATACCTGAGCACACTCCCATCAGAGCCACCAGCTCTATGCTGTGAACTATCTGGTTCTTGCACAGCACAGAAATACTCGAGAGAACTAGGCTATCAGTTGTGATGCCAGAATGAGGGCATTCTGGGGCACTTGTCAAATATCTCCCTACTATGAATTTTCAAGCTCAATCCTGCGAGCTCAAAGATCCCAGAAGAGGGAGTATACAGGCTCGACAAGTCTTCTAGGCCCTCCCTCCACCCCTTAAATGCCTGGTACTGCTCATTGTTCCAAAGTCCAAGGCTAGAATTAACCAGGTAGCTGGAAAAGTAGATCTGTCCCCCATCCTCACCCTGCAGTATCAGTTCTTTTATTCATAGTCATCGAGAGCCATGGAGAAGTGGAGATCCAACTGCACCTCAGCTATAGTCATTGCCTCTTGTTTTTTATTTAAAGATTTTATCGGGATCCCTGGGTGGCGCAGCGGTTTGGCACCTGCCTTTGGCCCAGGGCGCGATCCTGGAGACCCGGGATTGAATCCCATGTCGGGCTCCCGGTGCATGGAGCCTGTTTCTCCCTCTGCCTGTGTCTCTGCCTCTCTCTCTGTGTGTGTGACTATCGTAAATAAAAAAAAAATAAATAAAGATTTTATCTATTTATTAGAGACAGAGAGAGAAAGAAAGAGGCAGAGACACAGGCAGAGAGAGAAGCAGGCTCCATGCAGGGAGCCCAACGTGGGTCTCTATCCTGGGACTCCAGGATCCGGCCCAGCAGTGCTAAACCGCTAAGCCACCAGGGCTGCTCAGTCATTGCCTTTTAAAAGACTGCCAGAGGCAGGCAGAGCTGGGGTTAGTCAAATGCCTATGCCCAGAGGGCATGGAGCTAGCTGCAGATAACATCACTTGCGTGGGTAAGTACTGCCTTTGTCCAAGGTCTAGACACCTCTGGCTGGGGGCTGGGAGGAGCAATAGGATCCTGGGAAAGATGACTGGTGTGTGCCAGGCACCATTCTGGGTGCTGGGCAGGAGACTGGTTATGCATCAGTGTATGCTCTACCTTCAAGGAGCATGTAGACTAGTGTTCTAGTATGGGAGGGATGATACCTATCTATCATCTCTACCTACCTATTATCTAGATATGTATCTAGGTTTAGATATAGATATCTATTAAAGTGGCAATTGCCATGGGAGGCTTAAAGTGTTTTAGGGGTTCTCAGGAGGGAAAGGTTGCTTTTATCTAGGACAAGCGGGGAAAGCATCAAGGAGAAGTTAACACTTGGGCTGAGTCTTGAGTCAGGGGTACAACTGGGGAGGGGGATATAGAGGAGCTTCCCCCTGGAGGTGTCTGTTTCTCCCTAGCCCTGCCCACCCAACCAGGCCTTTTGGTTCTGTTGGTGACTGTCATTGTGACCTCTACACTGAGCCTCCTTATGGTGTGTGGGGTACTGATTCTGGGTAAGGAGCATCCAGCCGGCATGGCTGATTCAAGGCTGCCCACCTCTTCACTGAGCTGTGTGGGGTCCCAGGGAGAGACATGGCTCATTTCAAGACCCCTGCTTCCAGCACAGCAGTGGTGGATTCCTCTGGGATTCTAAGCAGCTGTGGAATCCCATGGAAAACATTTACCTTAATGGGCATCTGGAGAGATGTCCTGGGCGGAGGGGTGGCAAAGCAGGGTGGGCCAGATGGGCGGGTAGAGAGTTTGGTGTTCTTCCTCAGTCAACCATAAGCGGCAGGGCCTGTGGGGGATGAGGCTGCCAGGTCCTGAGCTGAGACATCTTCAAACCTCCACCAAGACAGTTCTCAGCCCCTACTACTGCCAGCTGGGGTTTGGCTTGGCCCAGCACCTGGCCTCTGCCTCCAAGGCTTACAGAGGTTTCCCCAGCCAATGTCACTCTGTTCAGGTAAGTTCTCCCCCTCCTTCTGAGAACCTCTGTGCTCTGAATCCCTCCCACTTCCATCCCCATCCCCATTCCCTGCTGTGGTGAACTATGGTTCATAGAGCACTTGTGGCCCCAAACCTCTGTGTGGAGGAGATAGAGATCAGAGAAGTTCCAAAATGCAGAGTAACTTGTCCACAGTCAGCTCGGCCAGCTGTCATCCCCAATTCTGGGATGGTAGGGACCCTATGATTCCTTTGGAGTAAGGGTTGCCTCTATCCAGGGCATCTGCAAGGACAAACGGAAAACCTCGTCACAGACCCCCACCCCCACCCTGAGCCCATACCTTCTCTCTCTTCTGCCCTGCTTCTGTGCCAGTCAACATTGCCTCTGTAGGGCTTGTACTTGGGGAGATGCCAGGAGGCGGAAGGGCCTGAGTCCTCAGATAGGGCCACCTGGTTATATAGGGGATGGCAAGGGAGGTAAAAGAGGCACTAGACCCTCTTAGGACCCTTTGTCAGGCCTGGCCACCCACTCTTTTCCAACCTGTCTTCCTGCAGAGCCCTGGGCCACGGTGGCTTTGGAGAAGTCTATGAGGGACTGGTAACTGGCTTTCCCTGGGACCCCAGCCCCTTGCTGGTGACTGTCAAGGTGAGAGGGGTGGAACTTCCAATTGCTGGAGCTAGGGTCAGCCTACTCCCCTGAAGTGTCTCGGGGAGCTCAGGAGCCCTTTTCCTCCCCAGACCCTGCCAGAACTCTGCTCTCAGCAGAATGAACTGGATTTCCTCATGGAGGCCCTCATCATCAGCGGCACCCGGGCCACAGCCAGGGGTGGAAGGTGGAAGCAGAACTGCCTGCCAGGCCAGCTACTCTCACCCTGGGGCTGAGAGGTAGCAGGTGGAGGGATGTAGAGCCTGTCTCTAGTTTTGTGGACCCTAGAGCCTTGTTTCCCTCCCTGGTGGCAACTGGGATGTGTGCACCTCTCCCTCAGCAAGTTCAGCCATCAGAACATCATGTGCTGGGACACCTGTGTGGCTCAGTGGTTGAGCATCTGTTTGGCTCAGGGTGTGATCCTGGGGTCCCGGGATCAAGTCCCACATTGGGCTCCCTGCAAGGAGCCCGCTTTTCCCTCTGCCTATGTCTCTGTTTCTCTGTGTCTAATAAATAAATAAAATCTTTAAAAAAAAAAAAAAAGGAACATTGTGTGCTGTGTGGGGCTGAGCCTCAGGACTCTCCTTCGCCTAATTCTGCTCCAGTTGATGGAGGGGACATGAAGAGTTTCTTGAACAGCCAGCCACACTTGGTAAGACCCTTCTCCCAGCCCTCTTGGCCCATCTAAAGACCCTGTCCGGGGCGCCTGGGTGGCTCAGTCAGTGAAGCATCTGCCTTTCGCTCAGGTCATGATCTCAGGGTCCTGGGTTCAAGCTTGTGTGGAGCTCCTTGCTCATTGGAGAGTCTGCTTCTCCCTCTGCCCCTCCCCCCACTCATGTGCACATGCACTCTCTCTCCTTCTTTCTCTCTCTCCTGTGTGTGTGTGTGTGTCTCTCTCTCAATTAAATAAATAAAATCTTACAAAAATATAAAAATAAAGACCCTGTCCACATGTCCCCAAACAAGCATGGGCTAAAAATGTACCCTCTGCCCTACCCCAGTCCAGCCATCACCTCTGGCCATCTGGGACCTGTTCCAACTGGCCCAAGACATAGCCCAGAGTTGCCACTACCTGGAGGAAAATCACTTCATCCAAAGGTTGGGAGTGATCCTGGCCAGGAGGGAGTGGGGGAGCAGCCCAACTCTCTCCCCAAGAGAGAGAGCACCTGGGTGGCTCAGTGGTTGAGCATCTACCTTTGGGCTCAGGTCAGGATCCCAGGATCCTGGGATTGAATCCTTCCTGGGGCGCCTGGGTGGCTCAGTGGTTGAGCATCTACCTTGGGCTCAGGTCAGGATCCCAGGATCCTGGGATTGAATCCTGCATCAGGCTCCCCACAAGGAGCCTGCTTCTCCCTCTATGTCTCTGCCTCTCTATGTCTCTCATGAATAAATAAAATCCTAAAAAAAAAAGACTAGCTCTTCTATAGAACTTTATGGAAATAGATGAGGGCCAGAGCATCTAAGTTCTGGCAGTGATTTTTTTTTGCCTGCAGAGACATTGCTGCCAGGAACTGCCTGCTGAGCTGTACTGGGCCCAGCTGAGTGGCCAAGACTGGCGACTTTGGGATGGCAAGAGATATCTACAGGTGTGGCGTCTAGGGAGCTGGGGAAGGCCACCTCTCCAAGGGAGTTTACCAGCACTCTGGTAGCATTTGAGCCACTCATCACTCCCCTCCTCCCTCCTATAAGCCAATTATTACGGGGGTGGGGTGGGGTGGGGGGTGAGATACCTCCAGAGGCCTTTCTGGAGGGTATCTTCACATCCAAGACAGACTCCTGGGGATAACACATCCAACCCCCTCCCTGGCCTTGAGCCACCTCATGTGAGGGAAAGGGGAGGCTGTGCCTGATAGGCTTCAGTTTTCCCCTCATGATGCAGGTCTTTTGGGGTGCTGCTCTGGGAGATCTCATTAGGCTACATGCCCTACCCTGGGTGGACCAATCAGGACATGCTGTACTTCATCGTTGGAGGGAAACGCATGGGCCCTCCCAGGGGCTGTCCAGGACTTGTGTGAGTATGGAGTGTTGTCCAGGGAGGAAGGTCCTTCACAGCCACAGGTAGGACAAACTCCTGCCTCTCCCCCAGGTACCATACCGTGATGTAGTGTTGGCAGCACCAGCTTGAACTCTGCCCCAGTTTTGCTGGCATCTTGGAGCATCTTCAAAATTGCATTCAGGTGTCCCCCCTGACCTGCCTTGACCATCTTGATCTTGAGGGTCAAGAAAGCAGCCATAAAACAGGGCTGTGGCCCCCTACTCTCCTGCTCCCCCCATTACAGGACCCTGATGTGCTGAACTCAGCCCTGCCCATGGATCTGGGCCCACCCTGGAGCAGGAAGGGACTTCTGGGCTGAGGAGCAGGTCTTTGGAGGGCCTAAGATCCCGACAGGCCCAGGAACTGAATCTGGAGAGCTTAAAGAGCTGGGGCAGGAGCCTTCTTTGCACTGGACTCAAGACCCTCAAATCCAAATTCCAACCTCAGGGGAAATTCCAAAGGAATCTGCCCTATGGCTCTTGAGCCCCAAGGGCCCTGAAAGCGAGGACTGAAAGCAGGCACTGACAGTAGCAATGGTTCCTCCCGGCACTCATCCCCAGGCTTCTAGGTAGCTAGCACACTTCTCTGTACTGCGTGTCTGGGCCTGTTACAGGGCTGACCTGACACCACTGGACCCTCCGTCCTGGAAACCGGCTTAGGCTCCCTGGAGAAGAGCTTGGCCACTCCCAGCCTTTGATCTTTGGGACCAGACGTTGAAATTGTCTCCTGCAGAAAGCCTTCTCTGGATTACCTCTTCCCCCATGAGCATCCTTGCATCCTTCATCTGGGCAGCCCCCAACCCTTCAGATGTCTCTAATAAAGAGCTCTTCTCATACCCTCCAGTGATCTGAGTGGACATGAGGGTGCCAGGGAAGTGAGAAAGGGACCAGAGGAGGAAGGAGATGAGGCCTGAGTCAGCAAAGCTGGTGTCTTTGAGTTTTATTGGGAAAGGCTGTCCATTGTAGTGTGGGAGGTTAGACCAATAGATCTAGTGCCTGCGAAATAAAATTCATTATCTGGCCTCTCTAGAGAGATACGCAGCCCCCCTCAGAAGAGCTGGGCTGAGGAAGGAGCCCATTGTCCCAGCCACCCCTCCCCCACCCTGTTAATTAGTGCCATTGGTTCTCAGAACTCTGGGTCTTGTATGGGGGACAGCCCCCAGCTTTTGCAGTGCGTCCCATAGTGGTTGGCACCTGGCCCTGCAGAACCGTGTGAACCACCCCGCACCGCGGGGTTTCAGTCTCTGCCGCCAGCATGCATGGTGGGGACGCAGCCGCAGGTCCATCTGTTAGAACCGGGGCCCAGCCTCATCTCTCAGCCAGGCTGGCCAGGATGCTAATGAGATTGTCCAGCCCCAGCAAATAGCCGTCCTCGCGGTTGCCCTCCTCCCAGGGCCGCCGGTGGTCCAGGGTCTGGCCGTCGGGGAGGGGCGTGGTCTTGCCGAAGTCGATGAGCCACACACCCGCGCGATGGCAGTGATCATGCACGAAGAGTAGCGAGCTGCCAATCACCTGCCGAAATGCACAGGGTCAGGCCACAGCCCTTTCCTGGAGAAGCCCTCATCCTATTACTGCCGTAGCCCTCAGAGATCACAATCCCCGCACCTGAGCCTACCCCTCTTACCTCGTGCCTCCTAAAGAACTCAGAGACCTCCAGGGTGTCCCGGATCTGCAGCAGGCGGTTCAGATACCTCCTCTGGAGAGGGCAGGATAGGATAGGAGGGCAGATTAACTACATACTAATTGCGCCTCTGTTAATATTAGGGGCCATGATGCATGCTTGGCTTGGCAGACACCGTGCTGAGGGAGACACAGGCCCCCAGGTGCAATAAATGCTACGATGGGAGTCACAGGCGAGGGCACCTGACCGGATGACGTAGGGGCACCCTTCGGTTTCGGGTTCCCCAACACCTCAGGGTTCTAGGATCCGGCGCTCACCAGCACTTCTGCATCCCCTTGCACAAACTCCTCGAAGACGCGAATCACCTGCTCCCGGCTTCGTGTGGTCTTGAAGTCGGTGCTGCAGGAGCCGTCGGCTTTCTGAAGGAAGTGGGACAGGAAGTCAGGGTCCCCGTGTCTCTCCTCTGCTTGAGGGGAGGGGATCAGACCAGAGTAGCGGTACCTCCCGGGACGTCGGCTGCCAGGGGCTGAGGGAAGGCCGCCGCAGGGTGCCTCGTGGGGGGGTGGTCAACAGGGAGGGCAGACACCGCGCAGTGGGGTTAGGGCAGAGGGAGGGCCAGGGCGCTGCAAAGCAAAGCGGGCCTGGCCCACCTTGATGCCTTCGATGCGGAAGCCGAGCGTGGTGCTGGAGCTGATGCCTTCGCGCCACTGCATGTAGCGGGGCTTGGTGACGGCGCGCTGCGCGTGCTCCTCCTCGGTAGGTGCCGCGGGGTCTACCGCCAGCATCTTCTTGTACATGTCCTTCCGCAGCTTGGGCCGCTCGCGGGCTTTAGTCAGCTCCTCCTCCAGGTAAGTCCTGCGGAGGCGCGGGCAGCGGTGGGGCGGGCGTAAGAGGACGCAGACCCGGGCCCGTCCGGCGCGGCTGGGGGCACCCGGCAGGGCGCCCATTCCCGCCCCGTGCCCCCGCCCGGACCGGCAGGGGACGTGTACCTGACGCCCATCTTGCAGTCCAGTACGCAGGGCCCGTCGAAGCCGTCGAGCAGGTCCTGCAGCTGCAAGTAGCTCTCGCCGTCGCGCTCCACCTCGCCGTGGAAGGCGGGCACGCAGCCGCGCAGCGCGTCGGCCATGAGCCGCGCCAGGCAGTAGCGCTCCGGCTCCGAGCTGCGCTTCAGGATCAGCCCGCTGGTGCCAGCCGCCTTGAAGCTCCCTGCAGACCGGCCCCAGTTAGCCCGCCTGGCCCCCTCCTTCCCCCAGACCCCCTCCCGCGCGTCCGCGTGCTCACCCGTGTGCCCAGCCAGCTGCACCCAGGCGTAGCGCTTCTTGAAAGGGCTCATAACCGGCAGATTCACCATGGTCCGGATCTTCTGCCAGTGGCTTTTCTGAAAGCGACAGGGTCCCGGCCTGCTCGTTGGCGTCTCGACAATGCATAAGCCCTCCCTCTTCCGGCATAGGGTCTCCTCCTGCCCCACCTCACCACCAGCAGCCGGGGCCACCAGAGGTGCACTCACTCACTCACTCACTCACTCACTCACTCACTCACTCACTCAAGGAAAGTTAATTGCGAGCCTGTGTGAGACACTGAGACAGGCACAAGATGATGACAGATACCCAGCTTCTCCATCGTGCTGAAAAGAGCCCTGGCCATACTGTTAGAAGGCTCAGGTTTGCACCCCAGCTCTGCTACCCCAGCTGTGTGGGCAGGTTACTAAAGTGCTCTGTCAAGGATTTAGAACTTTCCTGAGCATGAGAATCACCTGATGGTCACCCATGTTAAAAAATGCACACTTCGGTCTGCCTCAGGGAAATTCTGAGTAGGTCTGGGTGGAATCTAAAATTTGCATTTCTAACAATGCCTCAAGGAGATCCTGGGGCCCAAGAAACAAGCCTCTGAGTGTCAGTTTCTTCATCTGTAAAATGGGGAAATAATCACTCTGACTGGGTTGTTATGAGTAGTAGTGAGGTCTGAGTGTGACAAGCTCCCACCCCTCTGACCTCGGAACCCCATTCCTTGGCATGAAGCGGAAGCTGGACAAATCTGGATTATTGTTTAATTCATTTTGAACCATTAGGTTACTCTCATTTAGGGAGACAGACAGGGAAACAAACCTTTGCAAAAGCACTGGGCAGAGAGGCTAGCCTGGCAGGGCCTGGGAAAAGAATGACTTAGGGCTCCCCAACATCCTCTTGCTATTCCTGGATGCCATATCACTCCTCACCAGTTGACTAGGGCTGGGGTACCCTTGGTCTTCTTGATCTAGACCCAGAAACCTGAGCTTTGAAAGTGGGATGCAGAGTTGAGAGCCTGTCATCCCAGATGAAACTGGGAGGGAAATGTAGATTGTGGCGTACCTCCTGCCTCACAATCCTGGCTTCTGGCCTCCACCCAATCCTGAGAGCATCTCATACTCTGGACCTTCCCCTTTCCCATTCAAAACTCATCAGTCCTGGCTGGGCAGCCCTGGTGGCACAGTGGTTTAGCGCTGCCTGCAGCCCAGGGAGTGATCCTGGAGGCCCCGGGATCGAGTCCCATGTTGGGCTCCCTGCATGGAGCCTTCTTCTCCCTCTGCCTGTGTCTCTGCCTCTCCCTCTGTGTATCTCTCATGAATAAATAAATAAAATCTTAAAAAAAAAAAACCTCATCAGTCCTGTGCCCAACCTCTGAAGTATTCAGGTTTGCTCATCCAAGCTGTGTGTCTGCTGCCTGCTTCCAGGGGTGCTTGCCTCTTTTTTTTTTTTTTTCACAAAACATGTTTAATATGGGCCCATTTATACATTTGTGGAAAGATGTGAAGCTATATACAAGGATGAGGAGTGGTAGCACCATTTGTTCCTTACTATGAGCGTGTGCAGGGGGAGCCCTAACAAGGTCCCAAAGTGGAAAAGAATATGAGCATAAGAAGCAGTCACCATGGAGTAGGGCTGGCCTATCCCCTCCTAGAGGACACAAGCCAGGCCAGAAGCTGGAGCCCTAGAGCTGTGGAGGAGGACCAGGCCCATCTGGAGAGGAGGAAAGGTGGGGGCCGGGAGTAAACTGCTGCAGGTACCCATCCTGTCTACCTGGTGGCCAGGGCTGGGGTGGTGGGTAGGGATCAGGTGGGAAGGAGGGAGGGGACAGGTGGATGTGCTCCTGGGAGGAAGGGGGGCTCCCTGGCAGGGACTCTGAGGAGTTACATATGTGTTGCAGGAGTTACAAGGCTAGAACCCAGAAATCCAGCCGCCTCTATCAGAGGAAGTTCTGTGAGAGAGAGGGAGAACTGAGGCAATGGCCTAAGTGGGGAAGGGGGGAGGCTGCTGGCCAGATAGCCCTTTCCATGGGGAGGAGATTTGGGTTAGTGACAGAGCACTGGAATCAGGTGGCTCCATCACTTTTTAGCTGAGTGATCCCAAGTGAGAATTTGATCTGTGTGAGCCTGTTTCCTCTGGGAAGATATAGCTGCTGCCATAACACGAGCCACCATTTACTGACCGCCTACTGCCTGCCAGGCGCTTCTCATCTTCCATCAGAAAGCGCTGCTCCTGCTTTCCTACTGAAGTCCCTACATGGCACGCTAGGGTGTGATCACATGTCCAACCCCCAGGGATCTGGGGGTGTAGCCAGAAGCAGCCCACTGGAAGCATGACATCTCTTTCAAAACTCCCTTTTTTACTCTTTAAATACATACAAGGTTTGCATTCTGCTGCATAATAAATCCAAGTTTTATTATAAAACTCTCCCACCTCCAAATCCTCAAGTAAAATTCCAGGAAGATGTATGTGCCATGTGTATTCAGTGGCATCATCTTCTCCCACTCATGATTTTCAAATCACGCACATGCACATCAAGTGCATGAGGTGGCAGCATTATTGCCATTTTACAGAAGGAAATCAAGGCTTAGAGATGTTAACATCCCCTCACTCCCTGACTCCAGTATCCCAGGCCCTGACTAAAGTTCTCTACCAGCCCAACCTCCTCCCCAGGTTCCAAATACCCAGCAGTTTCCAAAATCCATGCTACCACCCCCAATCCCTTTGGGGGTCAAATGGGACCCTGCATGAGAAAGAGCTTTGTAAGGGGTGCCTGGGTGGCTCAGCTGGAGAAGTGGAGAAGCTGCTGGCTCTTAATTTCAGCTCAGGTCATGATCTCAGGGTCATAAGATCCAGCCCTTCATCTGGTTCTGGGCTCTATGCTGAGCGTGAAGCCTGCTTGGGATTCTCTTTCTCCTTCTCCTTCTGCCCCTCCCAGCTTGTGCTTCCTCTCAAACTAAATTAAATGAAACAAAACGAAACGAAACTAGCTTTGTATAACATGAAGCAATTTGCAGCCACAGGGTGGTGTGTCTGTTCTCTGGGGAAACACTGAGATCTGCTTGGGGGCCCCCTCTCTGTTGGCTGGACACCTCTGTGTTCATTCAAAGGAATGGGATTAATGGTATGGTTTCAGGCAGCTTTGGGGGCCTAGTGGCAGAATTTGGTGGCATTGGGACCAGAAGGGATGTAGAGGGTATATCTAGTTGTGTGGCCACCCCAGTGGAAGAGGGAGACAGCCTTGGGTGAGGTGAGATGGGAGAGCTACCTTATCCTTTCTGAAGGAGCAGTGAGTGGAGCTGGAAGGTGGGAAGTGGGCCCAATAAGAGAGGATTTAGTCCCTGCAGTCCTGGTAACACAGCATTGACTTGCTTCCAAGCTGAGGTAAAATGCCCCATCACCTACTCTCCTCACTCCAACTTTGTGAGGATCATATCAGCCCAGAGCAGCAGCAACTTCATCTGAGCCCTCCTAGCCACCTCCTGAGCTTGATAGAACAGGATTTAGCTCCCCTGCCAGTGATAGATATGGTCAAACGTGGAAGAAGTTTATGCAAGTATCAATGAACTCACCACCATCCATCTTAGGGAGCTACCTCCTCCAGGGAACATAATGCAGATAAAAATGCATGTATCCAAAAAGGCTCCTGAAGAGTCATTCTTCAGTGGGTGGGTGGGGATTTTGGCATATGAACAACAGCAGGGAAGATATTTTTGAGCAGGTAAGATTTTATTGTATGGATATCAGAAAGCAGATTTGTTATGTCAGAGAAGGAAAGCTAGCTGGGAAGAGGGCCAAGGCCCCAAACTCTGGCCTGACCTATTCCCCCACAGAAGTCTGGGAAACCAACTCACAGCCAAAGTCTTGCTGGGTATCTTGGGGCAAAAACCCCAGAAGAGCTGACTATATCAAAGAGTCTTTGAGGAAGCCACAGGGGCACCTTCTGATCCTCACACCAGGGAGGATCTCTCTCTCTCTCTCTCTCTCTCTCTGGGAAGGGCTTGGCTGGACACTAAGAAGCCTCAGACCCTCCTTTGTCCAAGCTCCATGTGGAAGCCCTGGGGACTACTGCTTCTTATATCACATCAGCAACTTAATGTATCTTCTGCCAGAATGGACCTTGGGTTTTTGGTCTTTGTCCCTATACTTCCTGACTCCCTACCTCTAATCATTCAGCCTCTGGCTGAAACACTCTGCCAGCCCAGCCCCCTCCTAATGTTCCCATTGCCCTATCAAACCAGCACTCCCGGTGGTGGTGGTGGTGGTGGTGGTGGTGGTGGTGGTGGTGGTGGTGAGAGCAATCAGTTTAAATTTATAAAATGATTTGCACCAAGGTATAAGTGACCCACGACTTCACCCTCCCAGGGGCATTTGCTTTTTAAAAAGGAAGTCTGTTAACCTAAATTCTGCTCTATAATTAGTGAAAAGTGAAGTGTGGGAGTTCTGGGTCCAGGACAGGATGGCATCCAGGTCTCCTTACCTATCCTGGAGCACTGAAAGAAGAGAAACAAATGAACAGGAGCCAAACGACCTCTCCTCTGCTAGGCAACACCCCAAAATTATTTTAAGAGGCAGGGAAGGCCCAAGATACAGTCATGCCAGCTGCTCTTGGGCACAGGCCCCCAAATCCTCTCCTGATCATCTGGGTGTCCCTGCCCATGACTTTCTCCTCTACCAGAAGAGGGGCCCCAGGAGGGAGGGTGGCTGCCCAGTTCCAACTACCCTGGAGGAAGCCCAGCTCTGGGCTCTGGGCAGGCTGTGCGGTGCTCCTAGGAGAAGGAGCATCTCCCTCTTGAGTGAACCAAAGACACACTCAAGACACCACGTGCCATGTGTATGTGCCGGGCAGAGGCAAGGTAGCCGCTTCCAGGGCCGCCTCCTGCTCTGAGAGATTCCGTTAGGAATCCAGGCCCGGGAGTAAGGGGCTGTCAAGTTGGGAGCTCCGAGGGCCGCTGCAGGACCCTTCTCCCCGGCGCGGCGCATCCTCGTTCTCCTGGCCGGGGAAGCCCTAGGGGCAGCCCGGGCGGGCGCTCCGCAGCGGCGAGGCAAAGTCCGCGCGGCCCCTCCACGCCGACGCAGGCCGCCTCTGTCAACAGCGACCGGCTTATCTGCGGCCGCCGTGGCTGTTTGCCTTCGGGGAGGCCCCGGCGGGCGGGGGTTGGGAAGGCCTGGGAGCGGCAGCCTGGGAGCTGGAAGGGCCCCCAGCGGCCATCTGCTCCGGCTCCTGGCCGCGCCGGAAGACCGCGAAGCTCCGGGAGGGAGAGACCGGCCGAAGACGCCCGCGGCACAGCTGCGACCGGTCTCGGGAGTCTCGACCCCAGCGGGGCCGCCTACGTTGCAGGCAGGCTTCGGCCGCGGGACCTCCTCGGGCTGTGGGCGGCGGGGGAAGCCGGGGCTGCCCTCCTGGCCGCTTTGTCCTGCGCTCGCCTCTCGGCTGTCAGACATCTGACCCGGCGGCGCTCCGCATTCGCATTCGGAGGAGGTGGGCAAGGAGGAGTCCTCTCATTGCCCCACATTCCACCGCTTCGGAAATCCCTCGGTGGCACCCGCATCCCTGCAGGAGCCAGGCTTGTGCTAGGAATGATCCTGGATCGGGAGTACCCCCACCTCCGGGGGGAGGGAGGGACTCCCGCACCCTACACCTGACGGCAGAGGCGTGTGCGCGCGCGGGTGTGCCTGTTCTAGGAGCCCCTTTCCCTCGTGTCCCTTACAAACAAATCATGCTGTCCTTTGGGTAATGTGTCAGCGGGTAACTGAGTCACAGATCATTGCAGGTCCTTACAGGGTCTCCCCTGCCTCGTCCAATCCGAAGGAGCGCCGAAGCCCAGGCTCTGCAGGCGGAGGCCGCGCCTCAGGGCTTCCCGCACCGCGCCCAGGCCGCCCCTGCACGCGGCCGCCGCACTCACCGCCCTTCCGGGCCGGCTCGGAGCTACCAGAGCCTGCGGGGCGCCCTTCGCCTCTCCCTGCGCTCCAGGGACACTTGCGTAACGTGGATCTAGAGCAACTCCTTCGCATTGACCGCGGGTAGTTATTTAGAATATTTGGCCTTGGCTAATAAGAGGGGACAAGATGGCCATCCGGGCGCTGCACACCCCTAAGGGGCAGGAACTGGGAATGACTTCGCTGCACTCTGAGCCGGGTTATCCGAGGGTCAGACCTGGCCCCGGAACAGCCAGGTTATCGGAGGCGGCAACCAGCAGGGGGATCCAGCCCTTTCGACCTCAGCCTACCTTCCCCCGGCTTGGACGAGGAGCGCTAAACCGGGAGGAGGGCTGCATCGCGCTCCCCGCCCGAGCCGAGCCCCCGGGCCCGAGCCCCTCCCTTCTCCGCGTCCACGCCTCGTGCGGGCGCCGGGAGCAGACGGCGGCGGCTCCCGAGCAGAGCCTGGAGCGCCGCTCCACTCCCACTCAGGAGAGGGAAACCGTGGCAACGGCGGGGGTGGGGCCTCCGCGCGGGAGAGGGGGCGGGGAGAGCGGGAGACTCGCTCGCCCCTGCGTCTCCGAGAGTTCGCGGGGCAACTCCAAGCCCCTCGGATCCTCCGGCCCCACCTGGCGGCCAGCGAGTCACGATCTCCACCCCCGCCCCACCCGGGCCCACGGCCGGTCGCAGACTCCTCCTCGTTCTCCGTCTTAGACGCCCTAGGGCCCGGGCCGCGACCCGCGACCCGCGACCCGCGGTGGAAGCCCGGCGCCTCCCTGCGACCCCCGTGCCCCGGCCCGACTGCGAGGGCCAGACCCTCCGCGGAGCCGGCGAGCGCCGCAGGCAGAGCCCGGCCCGCCGCGCGCAGCCCCCGCGCCCCGCGCTGGCCCCGCCCCCGCGGCCCGTACCTGACCCGCGTCCTCGCTGGCTTCCAGCTGCACGTTGCCGCGGCTCCGGCTCTCGCTGTCGCTCAGCAGATCGTCCTCCGAGTCCTCGGGCAGCGACGAGGAGCCAGTGGAGGAGAGCGACGAGGTGGAGAGTCGGCGCGGCTGCTGCAGGTGCGAGGAGCCCACGGCCGGGAGCCAGCCGCCCTCCGGCTCCGGCGGCCCGGGGCTGGCCGGGGGCACGTCCGGCTCCTCGGCTGTCACGGTCAGCTGCGGGATCACCGGGGCAGGGGGAGCCCGCGGCAGCCCGTTGGGGACCTGTCCCCCACGCCTCTTGGCCCCGCGGGCCCGGGGCTGCCCTGCGGCGGCGGCGGCGGCGACCGCCGCGCAGCGCGCCTCGAAGAGCAGGCGCAGCTCCCCGACACTCCGGCGCGGGGCCCGCTCCAGCCCCGGGCTGCAGGGGCCCGCGCCTCCCGGCCGCGCCATGCTCGTCGGGCCCCCGGGCAGGGTCATTTCCCCGCACGCGAGCCGCGGCGGAGCCCACCAGCCCGCGGCGCGGCGAGGAGTGGAGGCGCTCGGCGCCCCCGGCTCGAGACTGCCCCGAGGCGGAGCCTGCGCCGCCCGCCCGCCTGGGCCCCGCCTCGGCCGCGCCCCCCGCCCACTCCTTTCACTTTCAGAGAAAGCGCGGGCCTCCGAGGGCCCTCGCCCGGCCGGGAAGCTCCCGGCTGCTCCTCCAGAGGCCCCGAAAGTCCAGACCCCGCGGACCCAACGCCGGGCCCGGACCTCACGCCCTCTCGGTGCCCGCCCTCGAGGAGCCGGGAGGAGTCGCCCCGCCCCTGGGCCCTACGGCCCCGCCGCTGGTCCTGCTCGGGCTCTCGCACCAGTCGCTCCGGCTTCTCGCCGCGTGCCGTCCATCCGGGCCGAGGCTCCCAGGTTTCCGGGCTTTCCTCCGCGCCCGGGGCCCCTGCGGCCCAGAACGAAGGAGCCTCACTCCAGGCCGTGCGCCCGAGCAAGGACTCCGCCCGGGCACCGCCTGAGGCTTCTCCCCTCCAAGCTCCCCACTTCCCAGCAAGGTCAGGGGGCGGGGCCCGAATCTCTCCGCGCGTCCCGGGGAGTCCTGGGAACCTCCCAGGGCTACTGGCTGGCGGGGGGCGGGGGGCGCGGGGTGGGGGAGGGCCGGAGCCCTCTTCCTCCTTTCCTGTGAAATCCCGGAGCTTGGGGTCTGCTGTGTGACCATGAGCAAGTCATTTCACCGCCTTGAACTGCTGATTCTCCTCTGCAGGGTGGTTGGCCACCTCGCAGGATTGCTATGAGAATAAAATAAAACGGAAGATGTAAAATCTATAAAACATTAGAGTAGTTTTCGTGTGGGTGGTAGAAAGAGCCAATCTCAAGTTCGTCACACTCTAGATGTGATCTTAGGCAGTCTCCTCCCTTTTTAAATTTAGGAAATCTTCACCTGCCTTAGAGCTGTGGCGGCACAGGAGGAAGAGACCCCTGATGCTGGTAAGACCTTTCATCTCTGCGATGTGCTCCTCGGTGGCATCCTGGTGCTGGGTCATCAGTCACTTCACAAGTTGGTGGTCAGCTAACTGCAAGGCTGCTTTGAGTGTAGAAGTTTGTATTTCACAACATTCCTTGTCTTCACCCCAATGCCACAGCGGAGAATCCCTCGTCAGGTGTTGGGTGCCTCAGGACTGTTGGGGGCCCTGTGGCAGGGTGGACCCTGACCCCGGAAGGATTGCCTCTGATGTTGATGAAGACCAAAAGGAGAAACTTTCCTTATCTCCCTTCAGCCAGATTCAAGGATGGTCCAGGAGGAGAGAAAAGGAGGGTTCAGAGAGAACAGGAAGCTTCAGCAGAGCACAAAGAAGATCCTGGGGGAATTGATGAAGAAAGTAAAGGTGTAGAAGGGTGGGTGGAGGCAAGGGAGGAATGCAAGAATGAAAGAAAGGAGTACAACAGTTTGAGTAAGTATACGTATTTCAAGTCCTGGGGGGAGAGCCTGAGAAATCTCCTGGCTACCTCTCCTGGGGCACAGAGGTCTGGGGAGCCTGCGTGTGTGTGTGTGTGTGTGTGGGGGGGGATACTCTAGAGCTTGATAGTCCTTCTGCACTCACTTCCCTCCCACTTTGGGGGCTGCCCTGGTCTTTGGTAGGAATGGCACTGCCCTCAGGGCAGGAGAGAGCTGGGGGCAAACCCTGTGTGGGGAGAACCAGTAAGGACCTGCCAGACCCCAAAAGGTGGTGGAGAGGGGATGAGAGAAGGGAACATGTTTTGTGCACCTGTCAATGTTTGTGTGCTAGTCAATGTATGGAAAACATTGGAAGCACAAGCAAGGCTGGGGCTGGGTCTCAGTCCTGGCTGCCCAGAAAGAACTCAGGGGCAATTACTTTTCTTCTTGTCCTATGGCCACCAACCAAAGAAGAGCTCTTTGCTATATTGCCCAGGTATCCCTCAGTGGAAAGGTAAAGGCAAACCTGGGGATGGGTATTGAAATGAGAGCTCATTCAAATGAGAGCTTCGTAGACTTTTAGAGTGGGAAGGGCCTTCAGATGCATCCTATTCTCCTCAAAATACAGAAGTAACAAAGGAGTTAAATTGCTCAGCCCCCAGAGGTGAAGGTCTTCCTTTGCACAAGGCGACAGAGCTAGTTGGTGGAAAAGTCAGAGAGCGTCTTGGCGAGGTCCCCTGAGTTCTCTTCCTGGGCTATGCATACTTTCTTCATTAACATCTTGTAGTTCTTGGTCTCTAGTTCCTTATCCAGTGAAGGTAGAGTCTGCCTCCACCTACCACAGGCAGAAGGCATAGGTGCACATATTTGGGGACAAGGTCAGGGCTCTCATGCCCTTCCGGTTGAGCCAGGAATAATGACCTTTCAGATCCTGGAATCCTGTTGTTTGTGCCTCAGTTTCCACAGTGCTTGAGGCTGTGAGTGGATGGCTTCACGTAGAGCACTGTGAAGAAAAGAAAACTACCATATAGATGGACGAATGGCCTTTTGGGTGCTGCAAAAATGGAACCAGGAGCATAGAGGAATGTTTCAAGGTTTTGATGGTCATGAGGTGGCTGATCTGACATAGGCCATGTGCGTCCCTCTGTCTTATCCACAAGGCCAGCTATGTGTCCACGTGTCCAAGGAGAAAACTGATCTTTCTTCTTCCTGTGGCATCTCAATTTGGGGATCCTCCTGTACCCCAGAGGCCTGTTCCCTGGAGTGTCTGCATCTTCACCCCTCTCCATGGCCTTCAGGATTTATCAGTCTTGGGAGCTCCATCCCTCCCTAGGAGGGTAACATTGGGCACCAAAGCTGGGAAAAGGGGAGGCCTGGAAAATGGGGTGTGTGAGGTGAGGGTCTTCTGGGGGCCTGCTATCACTCCCTAGCCAGCCTCATTTTTCTCTGCCCCTGCTCCCTCCACTCCCAGGGCAGCACCAATGGCCCCAGGGGCAAGAGTAAAATCACTTGCTCACAATCCCCTGCCAGGCACAGTTTTCTTCTTCTCAAGACCCAGAGGCAGGGAGGGAGGGAAAAAAAAGGATGGAACACAGCTTTTGCTTTGAGAGAACTTGAAAGCTTCTCCAGAGAGAGCAGAGCCTCTATGGTGTGTGTGCATATGTGTTTTGAGGTGGGGCAGGGTGGTGGCAAATCTTCCTCTGGACCAAGTGATCCAGGGTCTCATTCTGGTCAACACTCTGAGACATTCTTTGTGGGACCTGGTGTCCTCCAAGGGACTTTCTGACCTGACTGCAAGATTCCAATGTTTTGTGACAATACTTGTGGTTTATTCATTCACAGAGCAAATTCCCCTGAGTAGCTTCCTCAAACCAGGCATTGTCCTAGGTGAAAAGGATACAGGAACCGAGTAGCTCCCATAATTGAGCTCCCTTCCTTACTTGGAGTGACGGTGTATCACTTCACATTGTCTTCTGGAGAAAGGAAACCAGAAAGGACTCAACCAGAAAACAGGCCCCAGGCCCCATGCTAAACGGACTGTCAGTGAGACTTGCCCTTTCTGCGGTGCATGGGTCCCAGCCACCCCTAGGCCCCTCAGTCTGAGGCCCTTCTCTGCCCAGAGCGCGCTAGAGAGGGCCCTGGAGTGCTGGCCAGAGGGGGCCCGGATGGCACCTTGACGCTGGGAAAGAATGGAAGGTTTCCTTCCCTCCTCCTGGGTAGAGCAGTGAAAGGCTGTTTTCACCTGACAACCCCAGACCCTCTTCCTTGCCCCTCCTTCGCACGCGGTGTCTCACCTCATGAATATTCTGGATTTGCTAGGATCGTTGAGCAGGGCTAGGGGATCCAGCAGTGTTTTTTCTGACCCTTCACCATCTGAATCACTCTGGTTTAAAACAAACGAAATGTGTCACCACGCCTGTGTATGCGCAGTAAGAACAGTTTCGCTCCTGACACACTTCAAAAACAAGGTTTCCCATCCCTCCCAGGAGACTGTGTTCCCGTGGTTCTCCGTCCTCCCTCTCTCCAGAACGCACAGAACCCACAGGATCTCTCCCAGTGGCCAAGTGGAGGCCGAGGGGCCCGAGAGCGTCTGAGGTCAAGGATGCGGCTGCCGGTGGAAGGGACTGCTCCGAGAACGCCGGGGTGCCCATCGGCCTGCGTCCCCCATGGGGGGGGGCACCAGGGCACCTCCCGGATGGCGTAGGTGACCCCGCTGGTTCCATTGGCGACATCCCTGCCGGTCCGATTTCCACGCCGGGTGCCCGGCCACCGAGTCCACAGAGCATCGGGGGGCGGGGCGAGGCGAGGCGCCCCCGGGGAGCTGCGCGCAGGCCGGGTCCCGGGAGCTGCTGCCGGCTCCTCCTCCGCGCCGGCCGCGGGGGCGCGGGGGCTCGCGGGCTGCGGCCCTGCTCCCGAGTCCGGGAAGTCGCCGGGCCGCGCCGCCCGCCGGGGTCCACGCCCGGGGGCGCGCGTGCCCGCGGCGGGGCCGAGCTGGCGAGCGGAGGCCGAGGCTGGTGGCGCGTCGCGGGTCCCACTGCGCACGGGCCGGGCGGAGGGGCCGCTTGCATCTGCCGCAGCCGCGCTTCTCGCCGTTCCGGGTCTTACCCAGCGGACCCGCAGCCTGGGTCTCAGGCCCGCGGGCGCGGCGGTCGGGGACAGGATGGAAGGGACGCGTGGGATCGAATGCCCCAGAACCGGCGCCGCCGCTGGACACCCGCTTGCTCCCCCTTCCCTCCACCACATTTATGGGGCATTAGCTAAGTTCCGGGGGCGCTGGGTGCTGGGGATACGCGCCAGACCCAAGTAGCTTCCAGGCTGAGGGTGGAGGCTCCTAACAGTGCAGCGTAGTGAGTTCGGCGCTAGGGAGAGCCAGAAGGCGCTCCCAAATTGGAGTGGGAGGGGAGATCCCGGAAGGCTTCCGGAGGAGGTAACCTTTGGGCTCAGCGCTGAAGGGTGAGGAGAAAGCAGGGAAAATTGTTGGAGACAGACCAGTGCATTCCTGGTGAGAGGTGAATGTGTCTGGGCTGAGCAAGATGCCGACCACACGCACTTTGCAAAATAGGGCCACTGACAAAAAAAAAAAAAAAAAAAAAAATTTAAGTAGGCTCCATGGGGCTAGAACTCACCACCCTGAGATCAAAACCTCAGCCAAGATTAAGAGTTGGCTGCTTAACGGACTGAGCCATCCAGGTGCCTTATGATAATTTGGTATTTTAAAGAAGGTATCAAGATAAGTCATCGTGGGAAGGATCAGAACATTTTGTTAGTCTTCTTTACACATATTTTCCGGTTTGGTACAGATTTATGTTTTAATTACTCTTGGTAGTGGTGGTGGGTAGGTGGAGCCTCACGATTTTTCTGAGCCTGCTGAGGCAGTGGTGAGGTGGGGTGGCCTTCTGAGCCACTTTCAGATTGCCTGGTCTGGAGAGAGGAGCTGCAAGGGCAGGCTAGAAAGCAGCTCTGCTCCTCTGGGCTTTCCCCAGGCCAGCCCCAGTGCCCACCCATCAGAATCTCAACCTCGAAGCAGAGTCTCTTAGCCCAGGAGGTGGAGGCTGCCAGGAATTTCTGAGCTGAATTCTGGTAGCCACGCTGTCCCAC